CGTGCCTGCTATCTTCAGATAACGAAGAAGGTTAGTAAGAATGAGTTCCAGGTAGACACCATCGTCGGGACTGTTGAGAAAGAAGATAAAAGGCCGAGGGCTGAACTAGCTGAGGACGTAGAAGACTTCACGCTCGATCCGGCCAAGCCGGAGAGAGTCGTGAAGATAGGAGCCAAGCTCCCTGAAGATTTGCATGGGGGATGGAGGACATGTCAGGAATTAGCCGAAGGGTCATCACTCGCCGCTTGTCGGTGGACCCTTCCTCCAAACCTGTGCAACAGAGAAGAAGGCCCCTCTCGGCCGAGAGAAGGGATTTTGTGAAGAAGGAGGTCAGCATGCTTCTCTCCATCAAATACATCAAGGAAGTGAAATACCCTTCATGGCTTGCTAACGTAGTCCTCGCACAAAAGCCGCCCACCTTCCGCATGTGCGTGGACTACACGGATCTAAATAAGGCGTGCCCTATGGACCCTTTCCCGCTGCCAAATATTGACCAACTGGTAGATGAAACGGCGGGATGCGAAATCATGTCATTCCTCGACGCCTTCCGCGGATATCACCAGATCTTCATGTACGAGGAAGACGCTGAAAAAACAGCCTTCATGACTCCCGAAGGCATATTGTGTTACCTAGTCATGGCCTTCGGCCTGAAGAACTCTGGCGCCACTTACACCCGGATGGTGGCCAGGGTTTTTCAAGCCGTCCTCGGGCGCACCATGGAGGCCTATGTTGACGACATGATCGTCAAAAGAAAACAATCATCAAGCCACGCTGACGACCTCCGGGAGATCTTCGCCATCATGCAAAAATTCAGCCTTTGGCTAAACCCGAAGAAATGCACCTTCGGCGTGCAAGGAGGCAAATTCCTAGGCTACATGGTGATCCGAAGGGGTATCGAAGCCAACCCCGAGAAAATCCAGGCCATCATCAATGGAGCCCCCATGTAACGTAAAGGAGGTTCAGCGGTTGACGGGCCGCGTAGCATCCCTCAACCGCTTCCTGTCCAAGTCAGCGGAAAAGTCCCTCCTCTTCTTCCAGATCATGAGGAAGACCGCCGGCTTCCAATGGACGTCAGAATGCCAGGAGGCCTTCGATGAGTTGAAAAGGTACTTATCTTCACCCCTTGTGCTCTCCAAACCTAAGGTGGGGGAAACCTTGTACCTTTACCTTGGCGTTAGCCCTGCCGCCATCAACTCAGTGCTAATCCGGGAGGAGGATGACATCCAGCACGCCATCTTCTATGTTAGCAAGACCCTCAGGGAGGCGGAACTCATATATTCTCCCATGGAGAAGACGGTGCTAGCTATTGTTTGGACCGTCAAAAAGCTAGGCCATTATTTCCAGGCACACCCTGTCCAGGTCCTCACACACCAACCCCTCGGCGCTTTGATGAGGAGCCCCACCAGCTCCTCTCGGATGGTGAAATGGGCCATCTTCCTCAGCCAATACAACATTGACATCCGTCTGATGCCTGCCATAAAGAGCCAAGCCCTGGCAGACTTCATGATGGAGTGCACGGCAAGATCAGCGGTGGATGAGGAGCCCTCGGCACCCTCGGGCGAATGGTGGACCCTATATACCGACGTCTCCTCAGCGACCAGAGCATGCGGAAGAGGGGTAGTCCTCATTATGCCCGAAGGCTTCCGCGCCTACTACGCCATCCGTTTCTCCTTCAAAGTCTCCAATAACGAAGCGGAGTATGAGGCCCTCCTCTGTGGCCTTCGGCTGACGGCTAACATGAAGGCCAGACAGATCCACATGAAGTGCGACTCCAAGTTTGTCGTTAGCCAGATTTCAGGGGAATATGATGCCAAGGAGGGGAGAATGAAACAGTGCAAGGAAGCGGCCAAGGAATTGCTTAAGGTATTTGAGGCACACTCTCTCACTCAAATACCGAGGGCTCAAAACTCTGAGGCCCTCCACTGGTCATGGTTATTTGGATGGAAAACTTTATAAACTTTACCTAGATGACCAATTCTCACTTAACGTTTAGGTCATATATCACGAGATCGAATGTTAAGACTCGTGAGGGATGGAAAATTACCAACTACTCTTGACTTCAATGATTTTGAGACATGTGTGAAGTGCCTTAAAGGCAAAATGGCAAACGGAAATAAAAGAGGCATCACAAGGAGTTCTAATTTGTTAGAACATATACACACAGATATTTGTGAACATTTTCTCGCCGAAATTTCTGGATATAAGTCATTTATCACTTTTATAGATGATCATTCATGTGATATGTGTTTGTATTTAAATAAGGAGAAAGATTTGAATCACTTGACATATTCAAAGCCTTTAAGGTCGAGGTTGAAAATCAACTCGATCGTAAAATAAAGGTATTGAGATCGGATAGAGGAGGTGATTATTATGGTAAACATACTAATATTGGTCAAGCTCTCGGTCCCTTCTTTGGGTTTTGTAAAGAACACGGGATTGTGAACCAATTTACCATGTCGGGTACTCCTCAGTAGAATGGTGTTGCCGAGGGAAGAAATATGACTCTCATGGACATGGTAAGAAGCATGCTGGTTGATACCACCTTGCCTCAATTCTTATGGACCAAAGCATTAAAGACGACAGTTCATATACTCAATATGGTTCCTTCTAAATTCGTTCCTAAGACACCTTATGAAATTTGGACGGGAAGAAAACCGAGCTTGAGATATATGAAAGTGTGGGGATGCCCTACCGAAGCTAGTTTCTTTAACCCTCAACAAGGAAAGCTTGACATGAAAACAATCAGATGTTTCTTTATTAGGTATCCAGAACGACCAAAGAGATATAAATTGCATTGTCACTCTTATTCGACTCGCATCGTTGAAAGTCGTCGATCATGTCATGTTCTTAAAGAACTCTAATGTTAGTGGGAGAAATACAACTCATGCAGACTGCATGTCTAGAAAAAGAGTACATTCAGGTTATATTTTTTTTAGGAAACTAATTTAATTAAGGCTTTTAATTAAAAGGAAAGCCCAAAGTAATCTTATGGACTATTCGTTACAATCATCGTCTAACTCAAGTAGCAAAGTCATAGAGAACAACTCACATGAAGCATATGAACTGTAGAACTCTAAGAAGAAGAAGTTGCTGAACTCACCCTGCCACAATGACTCGATGCCTCCCTCGCGGAAGCAGATGACCTACCTGTACGTTCCAAATCATGATCTCTTCTCGTCTGGTGGAGTGGTGGATTGATTTTTAATATTTTAATTAATTAAGTTGTTCTCCTTCCGTCTCTTAAAACTTTGCCAACAAATTCACACTGTTTTTGCACCGTTCTAGAACAAGAAGCCTCAGTTCTCTTTAGAGGCAAGTGTTGCCTCCTACCTCTTAAGCGCCCTAATTATGAATGAGTAGGTCTTCTTTTTGTATTATACAATATACTTCTATGACTTTAAAGCCAATGCAGTGACAATAGTTAGGATATGTGGAAAACTGGCTCACCCAAAGGTTAAACATTATATAACCTTGTATTTGGCCCTTTATGGTTCACACTGACCTTTATGCAACATTAATTAATTCAGGGGAGAACAGCAGTATGGAACTCGATATTGATTCTATGCTATAAGATAAAGGTTGGGTATGGAGAGATAGTGCGAGGTTTGCACCTTAGTTCATCAGCCCCGGACATTCTTGATGCAAAACCAGAAGATTGACAAACTGGGAGGTGCTGCACATGTTAAGAGGCGATTGTCAAAATCCCTTCTAGCTTCAGAAGTCTTCAGTTTTTTGAATATTTTAATGCGAATTGGGGGTTATGATTTAGTCAAAAATGTCATGTAACTGGCATACTTTAGAAGGTGCACACTTGATGATGCCTGGTGTTGTGTGATAGCAGTATATTTTAGTGAGGGATGCAAAATTGATCTTATTTCAAATCGCTTTTACTGACACCTTGGATGATGAATTGATGATGAGTTATTTCCACCTCCGAAGGCAAGCGTACTTTTAAAAAATTGAATTTTTTTTTCAAGTAACAAAATCAAGCACATGAAAGCTAAAACTTAAAGTAATTGAAGGGATGCTCTAATCACATTTCCCTTATATTATTATAGAAAAGTACATTTTACCAAAAAATATTAACTTTTACTATTTCAAAATATCATTTTTATCCGTCAAACATTGGCACATTTACTGTTAAGCGTTTTTTTAATATCACATTTAGAGTAATTTCAACCACAAACACTCCTTTTTACACCTATTGACGACTTAGTTCGGAACAGGCTAATCTGATTAACAAATAAGAACCAAAATATAAATATTTTATAGCCGTTTATTGGATTTGATAAGAGACTATTTCTTCACTTCCAGTTCACAAACGTTAAAAAATGACCCATTATCCAGACACTGATAAAATCTTTGAGGAATAAGACTTAAAATTGTTAATTACTCATTCCCAGTAATTGGTCAACCAAGCTAAAGTGCTAAACCCAACCGATTGATTTGATTCATGATTCATCACTTTTCCAAAGAGAGCCGAATGCAAAATTGGAATTAGTAGATTACAGCTATTTAGCAATTCATATTTTCAAGTTTTCAATTTATTAGTCTCATCTGCCAACATTCTTATCACATGCGTAAGTTTTAATTTCGCGCATTAAATTACTCCATCCGTCCCGAAATAATTGTACTGTTTTCCTTTTCGATCCGTCCCGAAATAATTGTCTCATTTCCTTATTTGGTAAATAAATCTATACAAAACAATGTCAAACAGTGCAAAACAGTACCAAACAATGTCGCTACATTGCCAAACAATGTCACTACAGTGCCAAACAGTGCCGCTACAGTGTGAAGTCAACTTCACTTTCTTAATCTGTGTGAAGGTCAAACCAGGACAATTATTTCGAGACGGAGGTAGTATGTAATAATCAAAATAAGTACAATTGAAGTTACATTTTTTGCTGCATTGCTGAAATTACTACAAATGACCATTTTAATTATTTTCATATTTTTTAATTGATTAATAAAATGTTTTAAATATAATTTTTCATAATTCAAACGGATTTTCATCAATTTTAGCAAATTCATCCGATTCACTGTTATCAAAGGGTTCTTAAATTCTGCGTACACTTCATAGAGATTAGAGAAGGAAGCTAATGATGAATTGACTTAGATTAGTAGTTTCTAAAAGCTTTGTACAAAAAATGTTGGACCAGTGACTCAGCGTTAATACACCCACCCCCTCAACAACCAGCAGGCTTCCACTTTATACTTTATAGTATGCTAAGATAAGAAGTGCACATGTATAACTCACCGTCCAAGTAACCTGAGACGAAACAAGGAGACAAGTAAGGACTAGGGAATGCACTTGCGCAGAACGAAAGCTGGGAGATAAGGTAAATGGAAAATTGCAATTTACTCCATCAATTGTTTGGCATTTATGTAATTTGGGAGATGCCCCTCAAATTTAAAATTTAATCCCTCAATAGTGATACCGAGACAGAATTAGTCCCCTGGATTAAATCATCTTTTTGTATTAAGGTTGTAATGTAGGTGCATTCTTGATATAGCAGAATACCCCCTCCTCCCTCCCCAAGCCCAATTTTAAACCATATAAATGGCGGTTTTAACGGAGTAGACTAACTGTATCTTCTCAGTTATACGGACTAAAAAGGAACTGAATTTACAGAAGATTGGAACGACATCAAACAATTAAATTGAGGGACTAAATGTGCAATTTTCCCTTTCATAGGCGGAACTTTTATTAAAGAGCTTACCCAATCGGCACCAAAAAGGAATTCCAAAAGTGATGACAAGCATACAAAGTTGGGTTCTCTCTGCTTCATTAAGGAAATGGACCGTCAATATCTTACATTGCTTGGCCTCTTCAATTTACATATGGCCAGACTGCAGTGAAATTACTGACCTGCAGATAATTTAAGTACGCATCTACTACGTATAAAATTATCTTCATATTTTCAAAAACTGCCCAATGTTATCCATAAATTTCCTACGTAGAATCAAAATAATCAATATTTGAGTATGGTCTGGGTCTTGCAGAACGGCGTTTGCGAGGAAATGCAAGAGGGCTGCCTGGTCCTTCTCTCCACGTCTTATTGGATTTAATATCATTCACTGAAACCGTATTAAAGATGAAATATGTATTAGTTTCATTTCAGTGAGACACTTCTTCAAATGTATTTATTGCATGCAATATTACCTTTTCGATGAAACATAGGAACCCACTAGAAAAAGTAAATACTCCGTAATATATTAAAAAAAAAAATTGTAAGATCAAATCACCACAGATCCAGCAAGACAGACAACTTAAGGCACAATATCCCCATCATAGATCTAATCTGAAAGACTGAGCACTTAGCTAATTAGCTACCCTGACTCAAGAGTATGATGAATGTTACTATAATTCTAAAAGGAAACTCATCCATAATATTCTAGCCAGTTACCAATAATCCTAACACAGACCATTGCGTGAACAAAAAAATCCACTACTAAGTTCTGACCCTTGTACCAGTGTTTTTCAAAAATTGGTGGAATCTCGATATAAATCATAAAAATGTACAACTTTACTATTCTATAGTAATACTACATATCAATTTGAATCAGAGAAAATTGTAAACCCATAAACTAAACAAAATCATAATCGAATTGTATAAAATTCAGGACAAAATCATAGTGATCATTTTTAATGAAATTGTATTGATGTTTTTTTTGGCAACGAAATTGTATTGATATATAACTCCAATAGTATAAAGCGCAATATGAAATTGGTTTTACTATTATTTTTTTATAATCATTAATACTTCCTCCATCCCAAATAGATTTTCAATTTGTGCTCCAGTATGTTGATAGAGAGCAGCAGCTCGATTTGGAGGAAGAAAGGCCGATACCCCTGTTGGTTTACTGCAGGCGGGGACAGGAGCCCACCTTCGTGGGCTGGCTGTGGGCCGTTTACTAATTTTATTTTTTATATCTTTTCTGATGTTTCCTATTTGGAGTTAATTAGGATTGTTTAGTATTTAGAGTTAATAAGAATTTCTATTCTTTGATTATTAGAAGAGTATTTAAATTTTAAACCCCCAATTAGAGTTTGCCATGGAATATCAACTTAATAATATTGGATTTCTCCCGTGGGTTGGGCAATGGTTTTCTCCCGTTGATTATTAGTTTCAGTTGTCATCAAATGGTTTGACTTGTCGGGTCCCGTCCCCACCTGCAGTAAACCAACAGGGCTCTCCGCCTCTCTACCCCCAAGTCGGGGCCACTGCTCTCTATCATATGTCCACACATCCAATACACCGCACAATAATCTACACCATACACTGATACAATAATGCAAGTCTAATTGATGCCCAAAACAATTTACCCTTCTGTCAGCATACCCTGATCACCTAGAAATCCTGATGTACTCTTCCATTTCATCCACTATGTTCTAATTCTATATATAATACTACCTGCGTCCCAAAAAACTTGTCATTTTCAAAATTTTGACCAACTATATCTTTTTATTGGAAATTATTTATAAAATAAAAATTATATGAAAATGTTTTTTGTTAAAAGTACTTTCATAGAAGTGTAAAATTTATAACTTCCATAATATTATACTAATCAAAATCATGGTTCAAATTTTTCGAAATGGCAAAGTTTTTTGGGACGGAGGTAGTATATTACTACCTCTGTCCCAGTGGACTTTGCCAAGTGCAAAGTAGATGAGAAATAAGAAATGTAAAAACTGTGTGGTTGAGATTTGTGCAGAGTAGAGAGAAATGTGCAGAACCACAAAGTAGTTGCTTTAATAGGAAAGTGCCAAAATTTTTTGGGACAACTAAAAAGGGAAAGTTGGCAAAGTCCAATGGGACGGAGGGAGCATACAATTATAAAATGTGTGACTAGTCGCCTAATTGTCGCCTAGGCGGGCGCCTTATCGCCTAACGCCCTGTTTTGATTGAGTGTTAGGAGGTGTTAGTAAAGGAAGTGTTTAGGAGTGTTTGTTAACTAGTGTTTGGATGTGAAATTTAAAAAAAAATAAGGGTGTTAGTAAGTGTTAGAAAGTTTTAAGAAGGGTTAGAAATCACCTTCGCAACACCTCTATTGCTCACATTTTTAACACCCCAATTTGGGGTGTAAGGAGGTGTTAGACATATATTACCCTTCATTTACATGAAAAAATAAAACCTGACTTTCTTTCTATTGTTGTGCACATCGGTCAAGTGCATCAGCTGTTCTGCTCTTCTCATGTGCAGCAGGCGGTCATCTTATCTGTCCCACTTCATTACTTATTTACTCCTTCATACAAGATTGCTATATTTGGTGGGCCTTAACTAGAAAAGGCATATCACACAAGTATATCAGCATCATCATGGATATGTATGAGGATTGTACTACAAGTGTCCGTACTAGTGTAGGGAGGACTGAAGAGTTCCCTATTACTATCGAAGTGCATTAAGGATCGGCTCTGAGCCCTTTCTTATTTGCCATAGTCATGGATGAACTTACGAAGTCAATTCAAGACGATATACTGTGGTGCATGATGTTTGCCGACGATATTGTATTGATTGATGAGACGCAATCAGGTCTTAAAGCAAAGTTGGAAGTATGGCAACCAACATTGGAGAATAAGGGTTTCAAACTAAGTCGGAGCAAGACAGAGTACATGGAGTGCAAGTTTGGTGGAGGTAGAAGCAGTGGTAATAGCGCAATTACTCCGGATGGTAAGGAGATACCAGTCAGCGATATGTTCCGTTACTTGGGCTCCATAATTCAGAAGAACGGTGAGTTAGATGGAGTGTATCTCATAGAATCAGAACAGGGTGGATGAAGTGGAAGAGTGCGTCAGGATTTCTATGCGATCGAGGTATGCCGACTAGACTGAAGGGTAAATTTTATAGGAAAGCAATTAGGCCTGCATTACTGTATGGCGTAGAGTTGTGAAACAATGTCACATTCAAAAGATGAGTGTGGCAGAGATGCGCATACTGCGTTGGATGTGTGGGCATACTAGGAAGGACCGCGTGAGGAATGAGACAATCAGACAAATGGTGGGAGTAGCACCAATTGAAGACAAGATGCGGGAGTCGCGCCTACGGTGGTTTGGTCATGTGCGTGGAAGACCGAGTGATACACCTGTCAGACGAGTTGAGATGTGTGGAGAAGAGGCAGGGAAGAGAGGGAGAGGAAGACCCAAGCAGACGTGGGTTAGGGGAGTTCGAAGTGATATGCTTCTTCTGGGTTTGGATGAGGACATGACTTTGGAGAAAGCTAAGTGGAGGGCGGATATTCGTGTGGAGGAGTGATCTCGTATCATCTTTTTCCCTCATCTTTTTTCCTTGTTTTTTATCCTTATATATATAAACATTATTTGTATCCTTTTTATTTTATCATTTTTATGTATATTCATCTCTTTTTATATTATCTTTTTATCATAGCTTATCTTTTTTATCTTTATTTTCTTTCTTTTCCTTTTAGTGGTGATATCATGTATCGATTCATGTTAGCCGGCCCCAATATCTTTTGAGACTAAGGCTTTGATGGTGTATACAAGATTGCTATATTTGACAATCCATCCACCTATTTTTCTGTTCAATACTCTAGTTATTCACTTACTCCACTACAATTCTCAATTTTGTTTTTCTGTTCTCACTTAGTAATTTATTATTGGGAAATTTTGAAGGGTGTACTATAGATTTATTAGCATATGAGGAATATTCAACTTCTTACTATAATTTCAGTATTAAAAATAGAAATTGCCCAATATAGTAGTAAATATAAACATAATTGCACAAATAGGAGTAAAACTTAAAACTTCCTTCAATAGGAGTAAACATTAATTTTGTACCCTTAATATCCCTAACCTAGTTAATTCTAAAATATGACTTATTTAATCATAACCTAGTTAATTTGTGACTTATTCAATAATAATAATTTATTTATTTATTTATTTTTCAAAAAATAAAAAAATACAAACAAATTTAAAAAAAAAACACACAAAAAAATAAAATAAAATTCACCGCTGCCTCTGCCGCCTCAGCACCACCACCTCCAGTCACCAGGGGGAAAATGCCAAGTTCATTACGAATGCCATATTTATGGCAGAAAACAATGAAAATGTTGGCATTCGCAAAGAGAAATATGACATGTTTTTTGCATTTTCAGAAGAAAAAAAAAAGGCAGTTTTTGGAAAATGGAATTTTTTTTCACCGCCGGGAGGTGGTGGTGCAGGGAGGTAGTACAGGCGGTGGGAAAGGCATCCATATTTTTTTTAATTTTTTTTATGGAGTTTTACTATTTTTTATAATTTTTTTAAAAAAAAAAATTGAAAAAAAAATATTTTTTAAAATTTTTTATTTTATTAATATTTTATAAATTTTTTAATTATTTTTCTACGATTTTTTGAATTTTTTTCGAATTTATTATGAATTAAACATTTAATTAAAAGTTGTTGTGACTTGGATAGGGGTATACTTGTCCAAACACTAAAGTTACTCCTATTCAAAACATGGTACTCCTATTTTTGCATTTTGCCTATGTTTTGCTCCTATTTTGGGAATTCTCTCTGTATTAAAAATCCTATTAAATTGTGTAAATGTAAAAGTTGGAATATTACTTATTCCATTGAATGGAAGAGGCCCGCTACTTATGAAGCGACAAAACCAAAGCGGGCGAAGAGAATGGCCCTACAAATTGGATTTGGTAACTTTTCCCAAAGGAAGAAGAAGATTAATGTCGCCGTTAGCATACACAGAATTAATTCAAAAAGTATAAGAATTATTTTTGTCAATTTATACAAAAACACTTCCTTTTATGTCTTTGGAGAGAGCAAAGTGGAGGGCGCACATCCGTGTGGACGATTGATGTCTTTTCTACATTTCCTCTCTTTTCTTTTATCATTTATCTTCTTTATCTTTTATATTCTTATGTTATTTTTATCTTCTAGCTTTTTTATGCTCTTTTATTTTTCTCTCTTTTATCTTCCCCCCCCCTCCCCCCCCCCCCTCCTTGTCCGTCTCTCTATTTGGCATCGATATCAAAGATCGATTCATGTTAGCCGACCCCAAATTCTTTTGGGATTAAGGCTTGGATGTTTTTGTATACAAAAACACTTCCTTTAATAACAATCCATTTTTATGCTCTCCAATACAAGGTTAGTTTATGTCTTACTGTTACACTTACCTTCCCTTCCGGGCCCATGCCAACCCTTAATAACACTTCCATTACTAACACCTTCCAACACCCCATCCAAACAGGCCATAAGTGATATGGCGGTCGGCTGGCGCCGCAACTTGACGTACCGCCGTGACAACTATGCAACCATGTATATCCCTCAATTGAAGTGGGAACCTTTTAATAGCCTGAGTATTAAAACAAAATGAATTTAAAGATGAAGACCAAAAACAGGAAATGTCTTAGTGGAGGACATAAGTCAAATTCCCTCGCATAAATATTTTTTTAGCCTACAACTAAGGGTGTGCATTGGATTAAGATCTACGAGAAAATTTTAAGATTAAAAAGACACTGTGAAAAGATGTTAGAAAACAATCAACAGGCTACAGGTCCATAGCAGTGTATATATCAGAGGCAAGGGATGCAAAAGGTACACACACCGGCAATCTGCAGACATAGCACTATAGCAGTGCCAGTCAATGGGAAAAACGATTTTTTAGAAAATTACAATTTACTGACCTGAATTTAACCCATTAGCACCTGTGGAATCAGATGTAGCCCCAATATCTCCTCCACTCCCAAGGGAAAGCGAGAACCAATCCTCACTTGGAACACAGGTTGTGGCATCAGGTGGTTGATCTCTCATATTAGGGTCTGCCATGGATGATGGATCTGATGGTATATTCGGAATAAACATCTGAAGAGAGGGATCAACATCACCGAATGAAAAGGGATTATTAACAACCAAGCTACTGTTTATATTGGCATTAGCATAAACAACAGAGGATTCAGTTACAGCACCAACTGATCCCATATCTGTGGGAAACCCACAGCCACTAATGAGGTTGTGCTGGACATCTGCATTTGAACCAAATATCTGAAAGCCCGGAACTACCCTCTGGATATTGTGGGGTGAAGGCCATGTTTCTATACCAAATTCATTGTTACTAGCAATAGTAGTTGTAGTAGTATTCAATATACCAATCCGTGAATCAGGAAAAGTAGGGCGGTCTTCATTACCATAAGAATCTGGAATCCCATTCTGTTGAAAAGAATAGGTAGGGACTTCATTTCCAGGAATCATTAACAGTTCATTTTCCTCATCCGAATCGCTCAAGACGATAAGTTCACCATTTCCCGGTTGTGCAGGTTCATACTCAACCCCACTGTTATCCTGATTTACACTGACATCATCACATCCTTCTTTGCCAATTACAGTGTCACTACTGCTGCTCATGGCAATGATTTCCTCAGGCTTACTAATTTGCCAAACGCCATTGGGGTTTTTCTTCAGCCCAACTCTGAGGTTTCCATGGCCATTAGAACAACCATCCTGAGACTTAAGAATTTCGAGGTTTGGCTTATCAGATTCTGCATCAGAAGATGTGCAGAGATTTCCATTAGGTAAGTGCCACTGTACAAGATCACCTAGACTGCCTAAATCACCTCCTGCCTTGACCCTCCAAGAACCATCATGCTTCACTTCTATTTCCATCACATTCTCTCCACAATTCTTCAGCTGTGGCCCAAGCAGAAATAAAAAAAAAATTATTACTCCCCAAGTCCCATAACAAGTCCAAATTGCTTTTTGTATGGATTTTATATGTGGTAACTTTTAGTATTCTGCCCTAAAAAGTTGGATGCTTTTGTAAAACGTTGTGAAAATAGATTAACATGTCAAATCAATTAATGTGGGACAAATTGAAAAGGAAAGTGACACAAAATGGGACGCGAGTATAAGGTAAAAGCTGGAAACAGGCCCTATTAAGATTTGAGGAACCGTATACCTTAGAAGTGACTCGATTGAGATAGGGATCAATAATTATATGCTCCAGGGAGTAATTCTTCAGACAAATGGGACATTGCCACTGAAGCACATGTACAATAATAATAATAAAAAAAAGTTCATTAGATAAAGAAGGATAGAATCCACTCATGATAGCAGAACTCCAAAACGCACTATACTGGTGCAGAACTGCTTACCTTTTTAGACCTTCGGTTTATTTCCACAAAAACTTCAAGATCAAAACAGCCCTTGTGAGTACAGGGCTGAAATCGCCCAGCAACCTTGATCCTCAAACCACTCATCTGGATCAATGCATACTAAAATATTACTAGCTCCGTCCCACTAACATTGGGACATGAGGAGGTGACACAGTAATTAAGAAAAGTGGGTATATGTGGTTGACATTGAATTGATAAAGTAAACTAAAAAGAATGTACTTAGGGATTAAGGAATGAAACCAATGAATAAAGAGTAGCACTACTACACCTCCTATGTTTAACAGATAAATATGCAAATTAATTACTCAAGAAAATCATTACGACATATAATGTGTCACCACTTTTCAGTATGTCTAATGAATAATATGATTTCATTTGTCCAATGGATGGATGTCATCAACTATTTGACTTACAGGGCACCGAAGATTCACAGAAATGAAGTCATCAACTATTTGAAGATCACTGTCACTATCAGCATTTTCTGCAACATCCCCACCACCAACACGACAAACTCTAGCAAGTGCATCTTCAAATCTCTCACCATCGGACTCCTTGGGAATACGATTGAGTATCTAAAGGATAGATCGAAACATTGGATCAGACAAAAACTATGGAATCCAACACCGATTTTCAAGTTTCAAATAGATGCAGAGTAAGTTATTTGCCAATACAACAACAACAACAAGAACATCCAAGCCTTAGCCCCAAAAGATTTTGGGTCAGCTAAAATGATTGGATACACCAACATCCAAGCCCTATTCTCAAGAGTATGGGGCGGCTATGACAGGAATCGACATCGTGTTGGAGTTAAAGGGAAAATCAAGTGACATAACAGATCTAAATAAAAATATACACATCCATACATGCAGGAACATGAAGACTTTCCTTCATTAAAATAGCGCAGTGCAAACTCCAGTTAAGTTTCTTAAAAAAATAAATTGATAAAAGAGGCTCTTTCTACAAGAACCAATATACCTGTTGCACAGTCCGCTTCTTCACTACTCTGACACCAAAACAAAACACACGGGCATCGATTCCCGCCATAGATATTTTGTTTATCCCTTCCCGAATGCATGTTGTTATCTAGAGAGAGAGAGACAAAAAAGATCAAAAGTAATCAAATGTAAGTTGGAACTGAAAATAGCAATTAATTGAAATTGGCAAAACCATGAAGAGGAGCAGGACAACTGAACTAAATCAAGTAAAAGTAAAAGTATACTTATAATGGGTCATACCAATTATTCCAGTAAAGGGTAAATAAATGAATGGAGGAAATGAAAAGGCATAAGATGCTCTTATGATTTAAAATACAAAAAATGGGCATAAGAATAAAGGTGTCTAGCGTCAACACTCACAATAGGTCCATCATCTCGACCATTAGCTCCTAACAACTGTGACCCTGGCCTGTTTATCACGCGTACAGGGACCCCTGGAGATGAAGCACAAGTAAATCTATAATAGATTGATATCTCACTAAAGATTGAAACAATTTAATAGCAACCAGTTGTAGAGGGGATAAGAAATGAGGATAATCGTGTAATGGATTAGATAATGAATCTGGACCAAATTTGATTAGCATATTCAGGAGTACATAAGACAGCATGATTAGCAAATGTCAAAGTACAGAGAAGTGGTTTGGCATATGTTAGTCATTTGAATTTTGAAGACCTCTGGATCCTACAGAAGCATGATGCATAACCAAAAGGTTTTCTCAAATAGCAGCAGCTTTAAGTCTTTAACAGTAACTACTTCACCCATAACAAATTATATGTTCCTAAAGCAAAAAGAATTGTAAGTAATCTGATAAGCTTATGCTTATCTTACAAGTTAGATAGTTTCCTCATGTCAGAAAACTGAAATAGTTTGAAAATTCTTAGAGAACGAATCTATTCCAGGGAATACCATTGAGCTGCAGAGAAGTATGCAGAGGCCAATGCATCCTAAACTGCACCTTATCATTGAGGAGCATGCACCAAGCCTGAAATAACCATCACTGCATCACAATTAGTAACACACATATAAGCTTGAGTGTGAACACATCTTAAGAAAAGTACGCAAACCTGAATATCATACTCCTGTTTTTCCACTAAATCAGTCTCTGCTCTAGTAAGTTGAAACGTTTTATCAATACTCTGTACAGGACTTGTTCTGAAATTCACAGGCGTAACATTGGAATTACAAGTGAATGCTACCCAAAACAGATGTGGATAAACAAGAATTGAAAGATTGATACCAGATGAATAAATATTAGTATTGTACATTAAAAGGAAATATAATCTTTATGACAGATGCGAAAATCAAGAGATGGTGATAATAATGTATCACAATGTCAATACAACATGAGTTCACTACAACACTATCCTTAGAATTCTTTCCAGTACAAATCCATCCCCTCCTGGAAACCCACAGCCTGAAGGAGTGGGAACAACTGGACAAGATATTCAATTACACCTCACATGCAAAATTTTCCAATTGAGGGAACTTACTCTTTTGGTGTAAAAAGATATTGCAGGTATTTAGGTTCAAGTCATACTGTTGCAATTATTAAAGGATGGAGGAGGTATAAATTTCATGAGTCAAGTTCAATGCTTTGTATCAAGTTTGGTGCATATCATGGTTTTTAGTAGTATTACGATTTCCTGTTCTCATTATATTTAGGGTTTAGGTTTCCTAGCCCTATTAGGTTTAGGCCAATTCTCTATATTGGCACAAGTTTGTGCCACTTCTAGTCCCCCTGACTATTGTGTCAGTGACACTTTTGTTACTCAACTTTTAACTTTTCCTATTTTAATCCTTCGACAATTGTGCGAGAGAGACTTTTGGTCCTCTACTTCAAAGTTACCCACATTTAGTCCCATGAGTATCAAATTGACACTTTAAATCCTTCCACAATGATTTTGCCACAATAAGTGGAAGAGTAAAAATGTCACTATAATAATAGTTGAAGGACCAAAAGTGTCACTTCTACGAAAGTCGAAGGACTAAATATGGAAATTTTCAAAGATGGGTTCCAAAAGTGTCTTTCACACAATAGTCTGAAGGACTAAAAGTGGAAAATTCATATTCGAGTACCAAAAGTGTCAGTGACATAAAAGTCAAAGGACTAAAAGTGGCAAAAACTCATATAGGCACTATAATAGTCTTTAGAAATTGTGAATTGTAAATGAAAATCATCAATAAAAGTAGTATCTTATTATTCAACATGTTAGAGATCTAAAAAGAAAAGTCCATCTAGTCAAAGTATGTGTTTGTATAGACATTATTTAATAAATGGAATGATGGTGCAAAAAATGACATTACGGCATTGGACCCATGGTGCGTCAAAAGAATGTTAAAGATGGAGATTTTGTGGATGACCACAGAACATTACTTCCTGCCCCAGTATTTTTATCCCAGCTTTCCTTTGTCCACTCCCTAAATTTGTCTCATATCACATCCGGTAACATCTGTTTGGTTCAAACTCATCCACACATCACAAAATTCAATATTTACCACATAATTCCACTTAATATGTGTCATTCTCTCACTACCAAAGATATTGGGAAGCAGGTAGTATATTTTAATTCATGTACCCGTCTTCACACGGTTTAGAAAGAATTATATTTGATTTGTTACATATAAATGTGAACTTTTCAATGCAATTTGGAGAACTATAAAGTTAAAATTAGATGATATTACTGATAGTGACACATTGTATTAATACATAGGTTTAGTGAAAAAATACCCCACTTAATAATGCAGACAGATAACTGTATGACCTAATGTCCATATGATATACACATTTTAATATCAGGTCCAATCCACAAATGCAAGTTTGAAGCATATCCATGTAAAGAATAAGCAAGCAAGACACAGCCCCCTAAGGCCCTAATTGTACATAACATTTAGGAATGTATCACACTATCACCACAGGTCCACAGTTATTGATCATAATAACTAGAATATTTTGACCAAATATGAGAGAATGGGGAAAGAGAGAAAACAACGCCAGCTAGAACAAACCTAAAAACCATCTTATTTGGAAGGTGAGTAGGCAATAACAATAATGCAAACTGAAAGTAGCCTTTTATATGATTAATAAGTAAACAATAAAGAAATAGACCAACTAAGTAGATGGACCATCATCTTGAAGTAACTAGGGATGGAGATGGGTTGAGAGCAATAGGGTACCAAATATCGCCTGACTCTAATTTTGAGTGCATTGGTAAAATGACTTAAGTACTTAACCTAGGTAGCACAGAAGCGCAAAACGGGAAGCACGAAACATGACAATCGGTATTTTAACAAAACTATCACAGGAAACGTAGAGAGAATGTGTAACTATAAAAACATAGGGATGTATTTAGAAGTATATTTTCATATACCAGTTTTCCAACACATTGTTTTCATGTATGAGTATACATTTTTTAAATAGCTTTGCTAATACCCAAAAATAAAAATAGTTAATATTTTCTAATTCTAATAAAGAAATTATAGACATACTAATATGCTAGTACATAATAATAAAATGTGAAATGCAATGTGAAATGCAATACATTTTCAGCTGCGCATTGCATAATGATATATCAGAAAGGATGTGATCATCATCATCATCATTACCCCAGTGCCATAAAAGCTCCCACCTACGGTGGGGTAGGGGGGTCGGATGTACGCAGTCTTACCCCTATACTAAAGCATAGAGAGACTGTTTCCGGATGACCCATAGTGAAAATCGCGTCAAAAATTGCATGGACTGACTGTTGGTTCATAACAAAGAAGCGCATACAGTTTAGTGAGCCATTTTGCTTTATTCCATCATATTCCCAAGCCAAAAAAAGTGAGTCTTTGGCTCCATCGGAAAGGATGTGATGCTATAAAAAAAACTCATATGAAATCCACTACAAAATTTCAAACCACAAACACAAATTTTAACATAAAAACCCACCAGGAAGAAAAAAATTGGAAACTCAAAATTTCTGAAACACAAGATATTTAGGAAAATGCATTTTCCAATACTTTTAATTACCACAACAGCACAGGCACAGGAATTCAAAGTTTCTAGGTTTTCGACATGCTACTAAGTTTCCGGAACGGCTACACGTGAACTGCAGGAAGTTTCTGTGCTTCTTAGATGTTAACTGGTGATATGGTTGTGAGTGGTTTAGGGGCATTGCGGTAACTGGTTCCTAAACCGGGTAACAGTTAATGAATGAATAATAACCTCAAAAAAAGATAAACTACAGTACAGTGAACCTTAAAAAAAATATAGCAAGCTAACAAACTTCATTTAGCCTATTTTGTGCAAAGTTTAGGTTTAAAATAAAGTATGTGGCAAATGGGATAAGATCAGGACAACAAAACGGAGCCGAGGAGTGGGTTCATGTACTTCTAGGTTTTTTGGAAATAGGACGGTGAGGGTTTGAGTTAAAAAATCTAAATTAACAACTTTGGGATGAGAAATGACAAACGGGTAGGGTATCCTGCTCATTGCCATCCCTATAAGTAGCTAATCCTCTTATCCAAAAGAACAATACTGCAGAAAAGAGTGTGTGTGTGTGTATAAAAGGAAAAAACATACACCACAAAAACATCCAAGCTTTATTCCCAAAAGAGTTTGGGATCAGCTAACATGAATCGACATATGATATTGGGGTTAAAATTAGGAGATTTCCAGTGGATATCAGATATTTACCCATCAGGTGGGATGTCTGTAATGGTCAGCTTCACTGGAAGTAAAGGGTTTGCCACCGATTCCCAGAAGCTGCAAAAAAAATATTAGGTATAGAATTTAAAATCATTTAACTCAAGAAGTCATAAAAGAGAGTAATCCTTGAAGAGCACTCAGATACCAAGTATTGGAACAGATTGTTATTTGTGGAACTGATTCTTCACACAAGCAGATTTTACAACACTTGGAACCTCTAGGTCAAAACTTCCGCCTCTTATAAAAGGCTTGTTTGAAATTCTTTTCGCTTAGTTCATAATAAATTATCTGAGGCTAAAGAAAAGAGAACATGGTGTCACTTACGGGTCAAGACGACTCAATCTACACAGTTCACAATAGAAAGTTTTGTGCGGTGTTGTTGGAATACCACCCTCAACATCTTTCTCTGGGATGACAACGCACCTAATATGTTGCCACACATGGCATTTGGGATCTTCACACTACAGGTGACGTAGAGCAGCTAGATGAAAGAGTATACCTTAAACACATGGCCTATATTAGGGAATGTACATGTATGTGGTACCTTAATCATCGATTCCGTCTGCATGGTGTTTCCACATGGACATTGAATCTTATACGTCTTGTTAGAGACTTCTATTTCATCGTTTAACTTCACAGTGCTACCATGTGAGAATCCCAGTGGTTTTGATGCAGAGTCAGGTGTTCCATAAACATGCATTTTTCTGGGAGTAGATGGAGAAGATCATTTTTCAAATGCATGGATATACAAATAATAGCAAAACCATAAATGATTCACTGGTTCAGAGCATCTGTCACCTATATGTCGTGATGAGTTCAAAGAAGGGTAGAAATAGAAATACATCGTCCAATTAGATCCTAACTCTAATTCCAGGATAATAATTCTTCAATTTATATACATGCATATGTATGTGGGTATCTTGGAATCAACATTCTTGAAACTTCAAAATAAACATTATAGAATAACAAATACTACAAGTTTAATCATTGGAATAACATTGCAAAGGTTTAGCACATAAGCATTTAAAAAAAGAACCACGTGCAAACTGCAAGAAAATAGCACACCTGGTCCAAAACTGCAAAATAAGTGGTCTTAACCTTTATCAGATTATTTACAATTTGCGAAAAAGCTAGCTGATACTAATAAGTTTCGTAAACAGTTATTTTATACAGTGAAGAGCAAAAATCAAATACAAGTGGCAAAATATTTATTAAAAACGGTAAAGAATATTAAATTGGTCTTTTCTGTACAAAAGTACAAATATGAAAGTGTAAGAGACCAATGTTGATCCATAGTGCAAACCAGCTTTCAGTAATTTCCTTCAGTAAGAGACCAATGTTGTAGAGGAGTGGATTTGAAGGTAAATGTTTCACCCTTCCCCTTTCATTTAGAGTGCTGGTGAAGGAATATTATAGTTGGAGATGGAAATGGGTCAGGGCCCAGGTTGTCACAGTAGCAACGTGAGGCGCAGCGCAGAGATGACAGCCTGGGCGGCAATTAGGGGAGAAGTAGCCATGTGCAATACTGCAAAGTTTTAGTGTAAAAAAGATATCTTATTTTAAAATTTTAAAATATTGTAAAAATATAATATTTTTATGGTATAAATTTTTAATACATTATTAAATAAGATGTATTTGAAGTAGAGTAGGTAAACGGTGTAAAAGTCAAAGTGTTGCAACTTTTAAAGAACCGCAGAGGTAATATAAATATAATATAAAAGATAGTACATGAATTACTAATTCAACATTTTAGATCAAAACATGAGTCTGATGTCTATTTCCAATAAATAAAACTACAAAACCTTGGGGTAAAAACAGTGATGTGATTCGAGTGAGTTATAACAAAGAAACGGGAAAATCATACAAAAAGTAAACTACAAAGATAAATAAAGAAAGAAAATGGGAGAAAAAAAGAAAGTGTAAACTTGGTGGGTTAGTCGTTGGGGCAAAATAGATTTGACGATAGTGGCGCATCCCCTATATTGCAAATATAGGAGATGTTGGGTTGTTAGATCAAAACATGTGTCGCTTGATTGCACGACGCCATATCCAAGGACAGTGAGTTGGCAATTGTTGTCTACCGATAAGGCAATGGCAAGAGCAAGACTCTGGTGGGTCAGTCTTCTGAACCTGACATGAGTCTAGTCTCAACTCTCAACAGTATGGGCCGCTGATGAGTATTTGGCCGATATTGCTTGGGATTATCCCAACAGCAACAGAAGTAAGAAATTATCCTCTAATCACAAGAAGGGATTGTGACATGTGCATAACTGTATGTGTGTGTACATACAGCCATTCACAATATATGGCAACTTGCATGTATGTGTATGTACACATACATGCCTTTATGTGTGTGAGTATACGTGTGCATAGAGTTAGATACAAATGTGTGCGCCAGTGTGTGTACTTGCATATGTGTATGTGCGTTAAGTACATATGTGTATCTGTGTTTTTATTTTTTATCCCCATAGAGGTTTACAGCATTTCACAACCTTCAGCTTGCATATCCACTTTGTCTTCGGCTCTTCGCCTCACTCAGCCCAAAATTGTAAAAAAGAGTACTTATTATGCCCTCGAATAGTCATATTAATATATATAAAAATTACTATCATTTATATGAAATTTATAAATCCATATTAAAACGTTAATGATGCTTTTATTTTTTAAAAGGATATAACAATAGAGAACAGGTATGATCTAACAAAACTGATTTTCCTTTAAACAATATGTATAAAGTTTATTAAAGAAAAATTGCAATCCATATAGCCAATCTGATAGAACCCAGTACCGCAATTTAGAATTGCAAGCCAATATCAAACATGTAAAGAACATAACACAACGGAAAATTTTCAACTTTAAGAGCTTTATCTTTATTCTCCTTTTTATCTCAGCTATGACGTTCTCAAGTTTAAAAGTAGACATTAATGTGCAAATATACCTGTAAATGTCATCCACAATATTTACCACCTTTTCCTTGGCAATAACAGTTTTCTTCGCACACATTCCTAAAAATTATCCAGGACAATTATGTTAGCAAAGAGAAGATAAGTCACTTGGTTCACCACTGTCATATAAGTTTACATGTGGAAACGCACAAAAAGAAAGTATTTTCATTGACAACTTACCCTGGTCATCAGAGAAGATGGCCAATATTCGATCAACGAGGACCTACAATACAAAAGTTGACATGATTATTACTAAACATGAGTTGCCTTACTGGCAATATGCAATAGGTGGAGGAGGGCGGCCATGCGCCTAAGCCAAGAAAATAGAGCAGCATAAGGTTGGAACCTGTTCTAGCAATATTAGAAGCTTAGTATAATTGTATTAATAATAAATATTATCACAAATCACAAAAGGTCTCCATGGAAAATGTAGTTGGTAACTTGGTGAAAGTACTTTGCTGCAGTTTTCCCCAAAAGTTAAAGGAGCATAAACTTCAAAGAAAAAGCAAATAGCAGGGAAAGTGCCCTACAAAAGGGCTCCAATTGAAACCATCGTCAATAATGGGTTTTAGTGAAGAATTGCTAACATAAAAGACTGAGATGAAAGATAATATAATCAGTCTGTTGAATGAGACTGGCAGCCCTGAATCCAATAAAATAATAGAAAAAGAAAAAATATATATACAGCTCTTCAAAAATAGGCATAGTGGTTGGGCTACATATCTAGCAAAAATTCAAAATTAGAGAGATCCATAGAATTATACCTGCTTCTTTCCTTGCTTTGAAAGACCAAGTTCAGTGAGGGCATCCTTTAGTTCTTTTATACGAAACTTTGCCAACTTGTCCTACAAGAGATATAAGACACAAAAAAATTGTAACTTTCATGGTTGAAAACGCAATTGAGAAAACTAAAAAAGCAATCGATGAAAATGAAAACCCATCATACCAAGAGAGAGATATCAGTTAAGTCAGAGAACACACCCATGGTTAGAATTCTTAATACAAAATGTTTGATGTCAAGTATTGCACACAGAAGATAAAGAAGAAAGATGCAATTGAAAAGGCATCAGAAAAGATGGTGCGGTTTGAATTCTCAATACAAAATGTTTGACCTCAAGTATTGCACAAAGAAGATAAACAAGAAAGATGTGATTGAAAAGGCATCAGAAAATGGTCATGAAACACTATTACAAAACGGGAGCAATACCATGTCATCTCACTTCCACAACTACCAGTGAAGATTATGTGATTCATACCTCCTTTACAGAAATGGAAAATATAATAGCATTCATATTATGAATAAATTTGTTTCCATGAGCATATGCAACATTAACATTGTCACGTTCTGTAGAGGTGATGGGTTTAATGGATGGAATGGGAGGGAATGGATAGATTTTAAAATTTCCATATTTGGATATATTATGTGGGGAGAGGTTCCAATGCTTGTTTGGTTTAGAAGGAGAGGGGAGAAAAGTAATACAGAGTAATAAATATACTTTCTTGTGCATATATGTTTACAAGTAGAGGGATAATTGTAATCAAATAGGTAAAAAGATTAAAATACGTTTTTACAAATGTATTTAGTTTGCCATTAATATATGTCGTATTGATATGAATAATTTAAAGGGAAAAGTACGGAAAAGGTGTTTGTGGTTGAACCCGTTTTCTGATAAGGTCATGTGTTTCATTCTTTATCAAAGTGGTTCATGTGTTTGAATTCCGTTATCACAAGAGGGTCACGCCATTAAAAACGTCTGAAAAAGACCGTTAAAAGTAACTCCGATTTTCAAAAGTGCCCGAAAAATTAAAAGAAAATTACCGGAAGGTGCGCCTCAATAAGACGACCATTAGGCCATCTTTCTTTTTTGTTTTCAGCCACCCTTGTCACCGGAAAGTACTTCGGAAAAGTGATATTAGCAAAATCATTTTTAAAAACTAATTCAAACAGATCTGAAAAATCCAAAGGCGGGGGTTGTTTGGAGGTCATCTTGACGAGGCGCACCTTTCAGTATTTTTCTTTTAATTTTTCGGGCACTTTTGAAAATCGAAATAATTTTTAATGGTCTTATTCAGACGTTTTTAACGGTGTGACCCTCTTGTGATAACGGAATTCAAACACATGAACTACTTTGATAAATAATGAAACACATGACCCTATCTGAAAACGGACCCAACCACAAGTAACTTTTCTTTACTTTTCCCTAATTTAAATTTAATATAAAAAGCAAGCAATTATTATTTATTTAGAACTAATAGAAGAGATGTTGACAAGTGCAGAGTGAGCAAAGATGTATGATGCAGCACACCAAGAAAATAACAATATGTTTTTTAGGGAAGTAGAGTAATTTAGTCTCAGATAGATACCAACATACCATCTCTCCCACCTAAATCCCTTGAATATTGGAGCAGACATTATGAGATAAGTGAAAGGGATACGTTTATTCGAAAAAACCTGCCTTCTACAAAAATATTGTTTTGCTTTCCAACAAAGGGAGTCCCTCCCCTCCACATCCCTCAAACTGAACATATAGTAAAATATACTATGCTAAGCAATCCTGTAATACAACCTAAATAGTTTCTGTTTTGCTACACGTTCCATTATACAGCTGAGGGTTCAAACCATAACCATTATACAATGATTTTAAATCCGTGCCGCAATTAACAAAAACATCAATAACAATAATATAGACTGATCCAAAAAAGTAAGATGCTCAACCGTATCTGATTACCTTGAGGTCGCCTAATGAATCCATGTTTAAGAGCTCACTGATGACTAATGGATGGTGTTCTCACTGTTCTGCAGCTTGAAAAAGTAAACAGCCAATAAAAAGTCAATTCAGTTACAAATTACTATCTCCATCCCTATAACTTTCCCAAATTTACTCTTTTGATTGTCCCAATAACTTTGCCACTTTTCCTTTCCCGTTTAAGCAAAGAGTTTGTGTTTTTCATTATCTATATCTCCATTGAACAAACCTCTTTATTATTGGCAGTCAACTTTCAACTTTGTCAAGGTTATAAGGGACAGAACGAGTATAACTGATTCAATAAAAGTCGAATTCAATCAACTTAAAATGAGAAACAAAACAAAATTCGTATGAAATTCCCAAATATATGTACACACATATATGTAATTACGTATATACGCATGGAAATATGATGCTAAGACTTACAAAGAACGGGAAACAGACGGAGATGTTTGGACCGTAATCGGTAAGTTTGAGGCTGTTCCTTTCTGGTTGCCGCAATGCCTCAGTCTCAGCGTTCGCGTCCTACTGCCGTAGTGCTCTAGTCTGGTCTATCTGGGACTAAGGTAACCGGGTTTTGAACCGTTCCGCTCTTTCCTTCTGTTTTCCACAGAAGGCGTTGTTTCTTTACGCCAATGCGCTCGTTGGCGGCAGCAGGAAGCAGCACTCTTTCTTTGCCATAACTTTCGGTATTTTGATCAGAATGTTTGAGATTTTAGGAGTGTTTGGCATTCGAATTGAGGAATTAAAAAGATTATTACCCCTTAGCACTTCGAATTGAATAGAAAACTTTGATCAAGGATTAAGGAACGATAATAAACGATGTTTTTTACACTTTTGTCCATCTTTCTAAAAGTAGATGTTTTTAAGTTAATGGAGAAAAAGTAAAAGTATGGGTAAATTTGTCACTTTATTCTTATTTACATACCTAAAATAGAAAGCGGAAAACCATTTTGGGACAACCAAAATAGGAAATTTTGCAAATCAAACTGGGACGGAGGGAGTATCTTATTTATGGCATTCATTCGAATTTAAATTGTTTTTACAAATCATTTTTTTATTTTAGTATTTGTCGAGAAGTATTAGAGAATCATCCGGCCATAGGGATAATTTGAAGGAAAAATTGTAGGGTTGCATGTGCTTTTGAGGGATGTTTTGGTGCATTCCACGTTTGATAGCATGTGATTGGTAATTTAATCCATGTCACTTGTTTTTATTAAAAATACATTAACACTAGATAAGTTGTTTCCCCAATCTTCAATTTTATCATTTTACGCTGAAATTATAATTCAGCTTAGCTTGTGAGTTATCCCTGAAAGCAAGCTGTGAGAGATGTTTGTGGGAGGCAAGAAACCAAGGAAAGCGCCGGAGGGGCGGAAATCTGGCATCTCAATCCAAGGTAGGTGTCATCATCTCTAATTTTTTGTTCTCTGTATTCAATTTCTTTGTTTGGAAGGTTAAAATTACCTCATTCATCATCATCCATCTCCTCTACATTAAGTTTTCCAATTTGTCTTTGAAAAGTACCATCGAATTAGGGTTTCTCTTTCGCTTTCTTCCTCCTGATCTATTGATGGGTGCAAAATTCAACTGCTTTAAATTTTGTACAAGTTTTTGTACGTAGTTTATGTGTGCAAATTTTTAGAAATACATTTAAGATGTGGCGTTGATGTGTGTCGCACCTTATTGTGCGTGAAGCCATGAATGGGTGGGCCTGATATCAACTATCAACAATGATTTAGATGTATAGACATGGAAATGTGATTCGTTATGCTAATTTGTGTAAATATTGCTGTTTGGGTAAATCGTGGTTTTTATGTACACCCTATCATGATCTTCTTCATCTTCAAAAGAAAGAGGTGAATAGCGCTTAGCTTATACGTTGTATAGTTTTATGGAATTTATAAAATTTACTCAATTAGTTTTGCTCAATAGATCAACAGGTTGATGTGTTTACTGTACTCTCTTAAATGACCCATAATTGAATACATTTGTAACAACTAACAAGCTTAAAGCATGTCATATTTTGTATATCAATGTGCTCCGGCCTCCGGGTAGAAAGTGTTGAAGTAGATATCATACCTTCCCCTACAGCAGACCTATATTTCTACAGTAGACTTAACCTACCCTTTTGCATACTCAGATTTGAGTTTTATACAGTCTTACCTTTACGATTCAATGATTCATATATGTATTCTGTATTCATATGCGTATCTTGTTGTGGTAGATGGACGTAATGTATCATGCATGATATTTCCTACTGTTCATAAGCAATAAGAGAACATTATTATAATCAATGTGTGTTCTAATAAGTAAAATGAAGGGATGTTTTTTTTATCAAAAGGGGGCTAAATCTAATAGCCTTTTGGTTTCTTGAAGAAGCTCCCTCCATGTAGGGATGGACTCGGGTCCGGTCCGGGTCCGGGTCGGGCCTAGGCCCGAGCGGGCCGGCGGTTCAGAAGTGGTGGACCCGGGACCGGACTGGGTAACCACCGGGTCCGGACCGGGCCGAGCCAGGTCCGGACCGGGCCGAGCCGGGCCCATTATCAATTTTTTTTCCTCTTCCTAATTAACCCCCCTCCCACCCCCAACCCCTCAAACCACCCCAAATGGCCCAAAATACCCAGCCCAACCCGAAAATTTAAAAAAAAATGATAAAAAAAAAGTTTTGGCCCGAACCGGGCCCGGCCGGGGCTTGTTTTGGGTGACCCGAGCCTGGACCGGAAAACCCACAGGCCGGGCCTACCCGGACCGGTCACTGACCGGGCCACCGGGTCGGGCCGGGCCGGTTCCGGGTCGGGCCACCCGGCCCGAGTCCATCCATACCTCCATTTAACAAACTCATGCAGGTTTAGATTTGAAAACAAAAAGTTACAACTCTGCCCCTTGAATAGGATAACAACAATAAGAATTCTCATGTCAAAGTTCATCAATAGGGGTTCAATATTGACATGATCATATATATTTGAAAAGATGAATGCAAAAGTCATATCCTCTGCCAATAAAGGGTGTTTGATATGATGAGACACGATTATTGTCTTTCTTGGTAAGTAAACCACTTTCTGCGCATTTAGTAATCACCATTTCAAAAGCTTTTGAGTCCGAGTAAGAATTGGTTAAAGAATGGCTTTATGATTTACGAATCCCACTATTTGGATAGTAGGTGACAGGAAGCCCCGCAATTGGATTATCGTGTCCCTATTGGCCGGTCCACAGCCTTTAACAAATAAAAGGGCTTCAACAAGGTCTAAATCTCCGGCTATCTTTAAACTCATATCACATCAAGAAAATGACATTTTTTTCTTAGAGACACATGTCACAAGTATGGTTCTCGAAGACCGTTTTTACCCAAAGACCATACCAGAAATCAATTCAAACCAGTTTTGATTCCTCCATAACAGGACCGGGCCAGTTTCGGTTTATACAAAGGCTAAGAAAGCGGTCCAAAACTGACCCGAGAACCAACCCCTATTCCTACTCACAAACATGAGGTCAAACATAGCTGCATATGCATGCACCTGTAAGGATAAAAGTGACAGTGGGGTGTCAAAAGTGGCATCCAAAGTAATATGATGTTTTTATCATTTCTCTAAAGCTTTTACAACTATTTGTTTGGAAAAGAATCATTATATACAAGCAAGATGATAATGATAAGAAAACGTCCATTTCAATAAATTACAAGTCACAACAACGAGTTTTTTGCTCCATGATGATAAAGCTCCTGACTATGAAGCATATACAAATGACTGGTGATCAATATGAAGAAACCTCTAAAAAATCAGCTTCCCCTCATGATTATTTTTTAAGGGAAAAGTTGTTCCAACTCACCCATGTCTTTTTCTTTTCTTTTTGTGCTTCTTATAAAGAGGTTGGAGAAGTAGAAGGGCATACAGAAGCAAACTTGCAACTCCTGCATTTCCAACGCTCCTCCATTGCAATAAAACTAGCTTCACGATCCCCTCTCCAAAATTATAAACAAGACTTTATTTGACCATTGACCCAATCTGAATCATGTTCAAATTCATCTTCACCTAGCAATGATTCATCCTCTTGCAATTCATACCTTGAAATATAATTGATTATCAAATGGCAAAACAATAAAACACATGTTTTTCAAACTGCTGCTTGAATGGTGTTAGCTATAGACTAAAAAGACACCACTACTAACCTCAACAAAAGACGGTTATGTGTTTGTGGAAGCATAGAACAAGTATTCCGAAAATACCCCATCACTTCACTGAGGGTCTGTAAGGAGGGAGAAAAATATAAGGAAGCCACATTTAGATGGTGACCTAAGGTAACAGTCAGATCAGCGTAATAATGGAACATAAATTTATGTTTTATGTGTAAATTACATTACCCATGTAGTTAATTACATTCAATCCCATTATGGCTTACAAATGTTGCCTTATTTTTTACAAGTGATTTTGTTTATTTACCTCTGCTGGAAAACATGATCCGGTTGTACTCGCTCGGATTTCATTAGATAAAATACAATTAGGATTTAATGAAAAGAAATCAAAGAACTGGCCGATAGGAAATTTATTAGCAACCAAATTGTCCCATATCTGCTTGTAGCACATAAGTTGAAGCTTGTACACCACATGCAAAGTTTCAGTTCATCAGTTAGTTTCCGTGAGAGAGATCATATTCTAACATAACCAACTCTATTTCTAATATCCAAAACAAGAAGGCTTAATATCTTCCTAATAACTTTTAGGTGAAACTTAAAAGGAATATTATAGATATGTTTTATATTACAACAACATCCAAGCGTTATTCCCAAAAAAATTTGGGGTCGGCTAACATGAATCGATCCCATGAAAGTATGATGAAAAGTATAAAAATAGATTTCCTTAAGGCATCAGTATTTGGCTGAATCAATGTTATGATAAGAAAAGTTCTGAAATATCTCTTTCAGCCAAATATCATTTAGTGCCCATTTGTTAACATTTTTTCCCTTGTCTACCCTATCCCTATCAAATACTAATTTTTTTTTTTTACCAGATACTAATTTTTTTATTACGTGTTGAAGTGTGTCATAGTGAATTTTGCTTAAGGGGACAATTTCAACTTTTATCCATACATTTTTTTAATCTTTTTTTTAAGATTAAAAAGACACTGTGAAAAAGTGTTAGAAAACGATCAACAGGCTACAGGTCCATAGCAGTGTATATATCACAGAGGCAAGGGATGCAAAAGGTACACACACCGGCAATCTGCAGACATAGCACTATAGCAATGTCAGTCAATGGGAAAACGATTTTTTAGAAAATTACAATTTACTGACCTGAATTTAACCCATTAGCACCTGTGGAATCAGATGTAGTCCCAATATCTCCTCCACTCCCAAGGGAAAGCGAGAACCAATCCTCACTTGGAACACAGGTTGTGGCATCAGGTGGTTGATCTCTCATATTAGGGTCTGCCATGGATGATGGATCTGATGGTATATTCGGAATAAACATCTGAAGAGAGGGATCAACATCGCCGAATCAAAAGGGATTACCAACAACCAAGCTACTGTTTATATTGGCATTAGCATAAACAACAGAGGATTCAGTTACAGCACCAACTGATCCCATATCTGTGGGAAACCCACAGCCACTAATGAGGTTATGCTGGACATCTGCATTTGAACCAAATATCTGAAAGCCCAGAACTACCCTCTGGATATTGTGGGGTGAAGGCCATGTTTCTATACCAAATTCATTGTTACTAGCAATAGTAGTTGTAGTAGTATTCAATATACCAATCCGTGAATCAGGGAAAGTAGGACAGTCTTCATTACCATAAGAATCTGGAATCCCATTCTGTTGAAAAGAAAAGGTAGGGACTTCATTTCCAGGAATCATTAACAGTTCATTTTCCTCATCTGAATCGCTCAAGACGATAAGTTCACCATTTCCCGGTTGTGCAGGTTCATACTCAACCCCACTGTTATCCTGATTTACACTGACATCATCACATCCTTCTTTGCCAATTACAGTGTCACTACTGCTGCTCATGGCAATGATTTCCTCAGGCTTACTAATTTGCCAAACGCCATTGGGGTTTTTCTTCAGCCCAACTCTGAGGTTTCCATGGCCATTAGAACAACCATCCCGAGACTTAAGAATTTCGAGGTTTGACTCATCAGATTCTGCATCTGAAGATGTGCAGAGATTTCCATTAGGTAAGTGCCACTGTACAAGATCACCTAGACTGCCTAAATCACCTCCTGCCTTGACCCTCCAAGAACCATCATGCTTCACTTCTATTTCCATCACATTCTCTCCACAATTCTTCAGCTGTGGCCCAAGCAGAAATAAAAAAAATTATTACTCCCCAAGTCCCATAACAAGTCCAAATTGCTTTTTGTATGGATTTTATATGTGGTTACTTTTAGTATTCTGCCCTAAAAAGTTGGATGCTTTTGTAAAACGTTGTGAAAATAGATTAACATGTCAAATCAATTAATGTGGGACAAATTGAAAAGGAAAGTGACACAAAATGGGACGCGAGTATAAGGTAAAAGCTGGAAACAGGCCCTATTAAGATTTGAGGAACCGTATACCTTAGAAGTGACTCGATTGAGATAGGGATCAATAATTATATGCTCCAGGGAGTAATTCTTCAGACAAATGGGACATTGCCACTGAAGCACATGTACAATAATAATAAAAAAAGTTCATTAGATAAAGAAGGAGAGAATCCACTCATGATAGCAGAACTCCAAAACGCGCCATACTGGTGCAGAACTGCTTACCTTTCTAGACATTCGGTTTATTTCCACAAAAACTTCAAGATCAAAACAGCCCTTGTGAGTACAGGGATGAAATCGCCCAGCAACCTTGATCCTCGAACCACTCATCTGGATCAATGCATACTAAAATATTACTAGCTCCGTCCCACTAACATTGGGACATGAGGAGGTGACACGGTTATTAAGAAAAGTGGGTATATGTGGTTGACATTGAATTGATAAAGTAAACTAAAAAGAATGTACTTAGGGATTAAGGAATGAAACCAATGAATAAAGAGTAGCACTACTACACCTCCTATGTTTAACAGATAAATATGCCAATTAATTACTCAAGAAAATCATTAAAACATATAATGTGTCACCACTTTTCAGGATGTCTAGTGCATAATATGATTTCATTTGTCCAATGGATGGATGTCATCAACTATTTGACTTACAGGGCACCAAAGATTCTCAGAAATGAAGTTATCAACTATTTGAAGATCACTGTCACTATCAGCATTTTCTGCAACATCCCCACCACCAACACGACAAACTCTAGCAAGTGCATCTTCAAATCTCTCACCATCGGACTCCTTGGGAATACAATTGAGTATCTAAAGGATAGATCGAAACATTGGATAATTTGGATCAGACAAAAACTATGGAATCCAACACCGATTTTCAAGTTTCAAATAGATGCAGAGTAAGTTATTTGCCAATACAAAAACAACAAGAACATCCAAGCCTTAGCCCCAAAAGATTTTGGGTCAGCTAAAATGATTGGATATACCAACATCCAAGCCCTATTCTCAAGAGTATGGGGGGGCTATGACAGGAATCGACATAGTGTTGGAGTTAAAGGGAAAATCAAGTGACATAACAGATCTAAATAAAAATATACACATCCATACATGCAGGAACAGGAAGACTTTCCTTCATTAAAATAGCGCAGTGCAAACTCCAGTTAAGCTTCTTAAAAAATAAATTGGCAAAAGAGGCTCTTTCTACAAGAACCAATATACCTGTTGCACAGTCCGCTTCTTCACTACTCTGACACCAAAACAAAACACACGGGCATCGATTCCCGCCATAGATATTTTGTTTATCCCTTCCCGAATGCATGTTGTTATCTAGAGAGAGAGTGAGAGACAAAAAAGATCAAAAGTAATCAAATGTAAGTTGGAACTGAAAATAGCAATTAATTGAAATTGGCAAAACCATGAAGAGGAGCATGGACAACTGAACTAAATCAAGTAAAAGTAAAAAATTAAAAATATACTTATAATGGGTCATACCAATTATTCCAGTAAAGGGTAAATAAATGAATGGAGGAAATGAAAAGGCATAAGATGTCTAGCGTCAACACTCACAATAGGTCCATCACCTCGACCATTAGCCTGTGACCCTGGCCTGTTTATCACGCGTACAGGGACCCCTGGAGATGAAGCACAAGTAAATCTATAATAGATTGATATCTCACTAAAGATTGAAACAATTTAATAGCAACCAGTTGTAGAGGGGATAAGAAATGAGGATAATCGTGTAATGGATTAGATAATGAATCTGGAACAAATTTGATTAGCATATACCGGAGTACATAAGACAGCATGATTAGCAAATGTCAAAGTACAGAGAAGTGGTTTGGCATATGTTAGTCATTTGAATTTTGAAGACCTCTGGATCCTACAGAAGCATGATGCATAACCAAAAGGTTTTCTCAAATAGCAGCAGCTTTAAGTCTTTAACAGTAACTACTTCACCCAATACAAATTATATGTTCCTTAAGCAAAAAGAATTGTAAATAATCTGATAAGCTTATCTTACAAGTTAGATAGTTTCCTCATGTCAGAAAATTGAAATAGTTTGAAAATTCTTAGAGAACGAATCTATTCCAGGGAATACCATTGAGCTGCAGAGAAGTATGCAGAGGCCAATGCATCCTAAACTGCACCTAATCATTGAGGAGCATGCACCAAGCCTGAAATAACCATCACAATTAGTAACACACATATAAGCTTGAGTGTGAACACATCTTAAGAAAAGTAGGCAAACCTGAATATCATACTCCTGTTTTTCCACTAAATCAGTCTCTGCTCTAGTAAGTTGAAACATTTTCTCAATACTCTGTACATGACTTGTTCTGAAATTCACAGACGTAACATTGGAATTACAAGTGAATGCTACCCAAAAAAGATGTGGATAAACAAGAATTGAAAGAATGATACCAGATGAATAAATATTAGTATTGTACATTAAAAGGAAATATAATCTTTATGACAGACGCTAAAATCAAGAGATGGTGGTAATAATGTATCACAATGATAGGATGCCAGCTCAGCAACCTATTAAATATTTTAATAAGGTTTATCAAAGGAAGAGGGGAAGGGCAGTTTAGTAAATTTGCTCATAAGTTAGTTATTTACTTTTGTCCCTGCGTGGACACTTTTACTATAAATAGCTAATAAATGCAGGCTGTATTTTGTTGGATGTCAGAACTTTGGAGGTTGGGCCCCTCGAATTTGCCCCTGAGCACTGTATCCTCTCGTGATCTGTTCGGTTGGATAATAAAGTTCCCCATCATCTCTCATATTTCTTACTGTGTTTTCTATCTATTTTGACCTTTCCTATCACTGGTATCAGAGCGGTCGCTCTTGGGGAATCGGAAAGTGAATCCCGACGGCAAGACAGTCTACGTACAGAGGTGGATGGTTAGAACGAGGTCAAAAATGGAAAACCGAGTTGATACCTTGGAACGGGAACTCGCAAACATCGCAGCTTCAATAGCGACGATGAACGAACAAATTCAGAGCAACGTAGCAGCTTCGATGGCCACCATGAACGAACAGATCCAGAGCCTTCGCGATCAGCCCCGGGGAAGATCGCGATCACAACCTCGCCACCATTCGCGATCGACCCACAGCCCTGAGCAACGAGAGGTAATTTTGTACATTCTCAAGCTCACTCTCGACGGATACATACTGGCAGGAAGGTAGACCTACCTCTATTTAATGGGGAGGGTGCTTACAACTGGATCATGAGGATGGAGCGCTATTACCGACTGAACCAGATAGATGAGGAAGATAAGGTAGAAGTCTCTGTAGTTGCAATGGAGGATCGGGCCTTAAACTGGTTTCAGTGGTGGGAACACCAAGCCGAGGAGAGAACTTGGGAAAATTTGAAGGATGCGGTGATCTGAAGGTTTCAACCTGATTTAATACAGAATCTGTATGGGCCTATGCTGAGCTTGAAGCAAACGGGTACTGTGCAGGAGTACAGGGATGAATTCGAGATGGTTATAGCTCCCGAGAAAGACGTGGACAGAGGTATTTTGAGAGGCATCTTCATTAATGGTCTCAAGGAGGATGTTAAAACTGAACTAAAACTGTATAATTCCAAGTCCTTATCTGCAATCATGGATAGGGCATTGTTGATTGAACAACGAAATGATGCTGTGTATTGGAAGCCTAAGGGGGAGGACAGAGCAGGTGGGAAGGATAAGGGCACCATGAATGTCAAACCACCAGTATGGGGAGAAGGATTTAAGGCAAAAAGTGGACAACCATGGTCCAACACTGGAAGTAAAAACACTGCAGATAACAAAGGCAAACAGCCTTTACACTCCTGCAGGGGTAAGGGTGACTGAAATCAACCCCTCAGGTATCAAGCGGGTAGGGCCACAACTTTCTCAAGAGGAATATCAAGACAGGAGTAGGAGGGGACTCTGTTTCAAGTGCGGGGAAAAGTGGAGTAAGGAACACACCTGCAGATTGAAAAATTACAAACTGATATTAGTAGAAGATTCTGATGAAGAGGTGGAGTCAGAATCAACTGAACCTGAACTAGCTGAGGAAGAGGAGATCAATATGGAGTCAAAAACCATGCAGCTTTCTGTGATGAGCAGGGAAGGGATACCTTCCATGAAAGCTTTTAAGGTGAGAGGCAGTCTGATATGGAGCCAAGGGGAATTATCAGTAGAAGCACTGATTGATAGCGGGGCCACTCACAACTTCATATCACAAAAACTGGTGGAAAAAATTGGGCATACCCTACCAGACCATTGCTGGGTACAAAGTGCAGGAAGGGAACGGTGATAAAATCTCGAATAATGGCAGGTGTGAAGGGCTGAGCTTAAGGCTGCAGGACACCATTATTAACCAGAAGTTCTATGTATTGGAATTAGAGGGTACTGATTTGGTTCTTGGCATGGAATGGCTGACTACCTTAGGGGATGTGGAAGTGAATTTCAAGAAGCAAATCATCACATGGCAACAATTGGGAGTAAGGCAGTCCATCCAAGGGGACTCTCATCTCAATTCACTTGAAGTATCTTTGCAGACCATGACCCAGATCATACAGGACAATGGGGATGGATATCTTATCTTATGTGAAGGCATTCTTACAGAAGAAAAAGAAGAAAATATGAAGGATCAGGGGTGGGAGGAATTGTTGGCAGAATTCAAAGAGGTAACCACTCCTTTGCAAGGGTTACCACCCCACAGAGCATGTGATCATGCTATTAACATCAAGGAGGGAGCTGACATACCCAACATCCGACCCTATAGGTACCCCCAACAACAACAACAACAACATCCAAGCCTTAGTCCCAAAAGATATTGGGGTCGGCTAACATGAATCGATACATGATATCACAAACAAAAGGAAAAGAAGGAATAAAGATAAAAAGATAAGCTATTATGAAAAAGATAATATAAAAAAGATGAATATATATATATATAAATGATAAAATAAAAAGGTTGCAAATAATGCTTATAAATATATATATATAAGGATAAAAAAAACTAGGAAAAAAAAAGATGGGGGAAAAAGATTATCACGATCACTCCTTCACGTGAATACCCGCCCTCCACTTAGTTCTCTCCAAAGTCATGCCCTCATCCAACCCCAGAAAAAGCATATCACTTCGAACTCCCCTAACCCACGTCTGTTTGGGTCTTCCTCTCCCTCTCTTCCCTACCTCTTGTCCACACATCTCAACTCGCCTAACAGGTGCATCACTCGGTCTTCTACGCACATGACCAAACCACCGTAGGCGCGACTCCCGCATCTTGTCTTCAATAGGTGCTACTCCCACCCTTTGTCTGATTGTCTCATTCCTCACGCGGTCCTTCCTAGTATGCTCACACATCCAACGCAGCATGCACATCTCTGTCACACTCATCTTATGAATGTGACATTGTTTCACCGCCCAACACTCTACGCCATACAGTAATGCAGGCCTAATTGTTGTCCTATAAAATTTACCCTTCAGTCTAGTCGGCATACCTCGGTCACATAGAAATCCTGGCGCACTCTTCCACTTCATCCACCCTGTTCTGATTCTATGGGATACATCTCCATCTAACTCACCGTCCTTCTGAATTATGGAGCCTAAGTAACGGAACATATCGTTGACCGGTATCTCCTTACCATCCAGAGTAATTCCGCTATTACCACTACTTCTACCTCCACCAAACTTGCACTCCATGTACTCTGTCTTGCTCCGACTTAGTTTGAAACCCTTATTCTCCAATGTTTGTCGCCATACTTCCAACTTTGCTTTAAGACCTGATTGCGTCTCATCAATCAATACAATATCGTCGGCAAACATCATGCACCACGGTATATCGTCTTGAATTGACTTCGTAAGTTCATCCATGACTATGGCAAATAAGAAAGGACTCAAGGCCGATCCTTGGTGCACTCCGATAGTAATAGGGAACTCTTCAGTCCTCCCTACACTAGTACGAACACTTGTAGTACAATCCTCATACATATCCATGATGATGTTGATATACTTGCGTGATATGCCTTTCCTAGTTAAGGCCCACCAAAGAACTTCTCGAGGTACCCTATCATATGCCTTTTCTAAGTCAATGAACACCAAATGCAGATCCTTATGAGCATCTCTATACTTCTCCATAAGTTGTCGAAGAAGGTGAATGGCCTCAGTTGTTGAGCGACCAGGCATAAAACCGAATTGATTTTCTGAAATCTTCACAGTCTTTCGAAGTCTTTGCTCAATCACTCGCTCCCAAAGTTTCATGGTGTGACTCATAAGCTTAATCCCTCGATAGTTGGCACATTCTTGTACATCACCTTTATTCTTAAATAAGGGGATAAGAGTACTCTTCCTCCAACTCGTTGGCATCTTGTTGTTTCTCCAAATCATGTTGAAGAAACTTGTTAACCACTCGACGCCTCTCTCTCCCAAACTTCTCCAAGCCTCGATCGGTATGCCATCTGGCCCCATTGCTCTTTTCCGTCCCATCTTCCTCAGAGCTTCTTTAACTTCCGTTGTTTGGATCCTTCTCACAAAATCACGGTTTACCATACAATCTGGTATGGACAAATCGCCGATATCTTGCGTTTTGTTCCCGTTGAATAGTGTATCAAAGTATGACCTCCACCTTTCTTTTATCTTTCCGTCGTCCATTAATATCCTCTGATCAACATCCTTCACACACTTAACTTTTGCAATATCTTGAGTTCTGCGATCACGAAGACGAGCAAGTCTATAAATATCTAGTTCTCCTTCCTTAGAGTCCAACTTTTCATACAACTCCTTGTTCACTTTCCCTCGTGCTTCCCTTACGGCTTTCTTTGCTTGTCTTTTAGCCTCCCTGTATGCTTCTATGTTCTCATCACTCCAATTTGTCCCCAACTTTTTGTAACAATCTCTTTTGTTCCTTATGGATTGTTTCACCTCATCATTCCACCAAGATGTGTCCTTTTTAGGTGGCCGACATCCTTTAGATTCTCCAAGTACCTCCTTTGCCACTTTGTTAATGGTCAACTCCATTGATAACCACACATCATCCACATGTGTTTCATTATCAATACGCCATACATCTTCACCGACCATTTTGTGTGTAAAGCTTTGTTGAAGATCTCCCTCAAGCCTCCACCACTTTATCTTTGGCTCCACTTGTTGTTTAACTTGTCTTCTATGGTTCTTACCTCGAAAGTCAAGCACAAGCATCCTATGCTGAGTGACAACACTCTCACCTGGAATAACCTTACAATCAGTGTAGCTAGTTCTCCAAGTGGTCCGTACTAAGAAATAGTCAATTTGGGTACTATTAGCTCCACTTTTATAGGTTACAAGGTGAGAGTCTCTTTTCTTAAACCAAGTGTTCATTA